AACAAGTCGCTCTCGGGCACGACATGTGCCAGGTAGTGAACCGCTGATGCCGGCGTGTGTTCATGAGGCGGTGTGCGTCCTGCAAAGGCCAGCCCCAGGATGGCGAGGCAACGTTTGCTTTCCTGGATGACGACTACATCGTCGCTGTGCCCGAGCGTGTCCGTGCGCTTCACGACGCCTTGGCCATCACAATGTGGCGTTGCGCCCATATCCGTCTCCACGGGCACGACGCGCATTTGGAACGCGGCTGAGGACCCACCCAACGTCGCTGACCTCGGAAGAGGCAAGGGGCATGGCCGTGCCACCCGACCGCCAAGGCGACCCCCTCTTGGGTCACGACGCCGTCGTCGCGCGCCACCTACAGGGCAAGCGTGATAACCACGATCGGTTCCCGCGGCGCATCCCCCACTGGACAACCTGCAGGCGAGGATCGAGGCTGCTGTTGCAGTTTTCCGCCGTCCCATGCGTTTAGTACCTGTTGCGCATCCTCCCCCATCTCGCCGCGGAATAAGTGCACGGCACAACACGATGCGGCAAAGTCGCCCGGTGCCTCACTGCACTCCTCGAGCTAGGCGACGCCCTCTCGCACAAGGTTCTGGAGGTCTTGGTCTCCACTGCACATGTGATCGATTTGCGGCCGGCATTCACGCGCAGGATCGTGCAGGTATTGCGTGACGTTGGTTTCCGGCGTGCCCGGCACTCCCGGTTGGTCGTAAGGCCGTAAGGTCAGCGGCAGGTTCGGCGCAGAAACCGTGCAGCTCCGGGCCTCCCTGCGCGGCGTTGCGCCGCCGTGGTGTTGGCGAGGACCTCGTATGCATGGAGTTCGGGGGCGGGCCCGTCAGCGGCAGCTCGAAGCGCGTGGGGGGTGTATAGGCGTACTGGGAGGCGACTGACAGCAGGCGGAGAGTGTAGTGCTGGCGGGCTGGAACCCGCCCTGCGCAAATTCCTTGCCGCCGCGCGCCGACTCCCACCCCTCGCCGCGCTCCTGGACCAGGCCGATCAGCCGCTGCTCGCAGAGACGCTTAGTGCGTCACAGCTTGCCCTGCGGCATGGGGGACTGGGGCTCCGCTCCGCCGTTGTCGATTGTCATGCCGCCTACTGGGCATCTTGGGTCGACTCTCTGCCAGCGGTGCGGGCGCGGTCACCACTCGCAGCCGACAACCTTGTCCAGGCGCTTGCCCATCCTGGCGCTGCTGGCTCCACTAGTGACTACTAGTGGCTACGCATGCTGCTGACTTCCTCCGCGACATGTGGAAAAAATGTGAGAAAAAATTGTCAAACGGTTTTTTGATGTTTTTTGGCTGTGCATCGTTCATTTAAAAAAATGTGTGTTGCAAGTGGGTCTGGGCGCTCGTCGTTTGGAACTGTAGCCGAGGGGCCGAGCCGCCTGCCGCTGCGACACCTGTCGTAGTCGTAGGGCCTCGCAGGCTCCGTAGGACCCCTTCACTGACCGGACACAAAGTGGGCAGGAGTAAGAGAGCGAGCAAAAAAAAAACTGTATATGGCTGTGTTTTCCTTGCGTTTTGCAGCTGTTTTTGCTCAGCGGCGCCGATTTGTCCGTGATTGAGGTTTCCGAGTAGGCTGCTCAGTTTTGTTGCAGCTGCTTAATCCCCCCCCCCCCCACCCACACCCCCGGAACAGGTGAAGCTGTTTTTGATTCTGTTTACACGGTCCACGAGTTCTATGTGGTCTTAGATGATTTTGTGTTTAAAAGGGCAGCGATGCCTGGCAATTTTTTTAAAGGCGCCACGGCGCCAAGTGGAGTTTCCTCACGGCGCCCGGATGACTTGACTTTATTCAGGATCCCACCGCGCACCCCCAAACAGTCAGGGTGTCCTGCATAGCCCAGCCAATATGACTGCATTGAGGGGCCCCCCACTAAACCAGGTAGAACATTAGTTAAGCACAGTCGCAATGTGCCTGTGTGACTTTTTGTGTCGTCCGTACTCGGCACGCGTGGTGGCGCACTCTCGTGCATGCGTCTATACTCCGACTCGCAACAATGCTGTTTTTGTGTCACTGTCGCACAGCGTCATTGTCACTGTTGGGTGCCCATATTTGCTCGACAAAAAAGAATGATGAAAAACGACTACCTTCCAGACGTGACCAGAGAGACGGGTCCTTGAACGATCGTGTGTCACGATCAAAAAGAACTGAAAGTGAGACAATATGTACATGATCAAACACTAACATCAAGGAATGCGACGTGAATCAACCATATCAAACCAACAATTTCGCCATGAGTTAAGTAAGCATGACAATGTCAAGACACTACTAACATTCAGACGCAGATATATACTGTGTGAAAACGCCACTCAGGAAGTGCACTCACATCTCACACGCCGCAGCGGCAAGGCATACATGAGCCACAAATGCAACATTGCGTGCGATACTGCGTGTGGCATTGACATGGGGCTCCGTGCTGAACAATGTGTCCAGGGACAACGCGTTGCGCATGTGACGGCGCCATCGCTGGCGCGCTTGATTGTGCGCAGTGCATTCCAACAGAGCATGCTGGAGTGAGTCAGTGGCGGAAGCACAAAATCGACAAGGTCGCTGCGGGTTCTCACCACGATGGCGCGCAGAGCGGCCATCCGAAAAGTCATGATGCCCACAGCGAGCCAAGCCCCAGACGCGAGCTTGAGCGGGGTCGATGGACTGCCCATAAACTACTGTATGGAGGTGTGGACGTGGCTGCCACCGCAAGTAATTTTGTAGGGATTCTGTGTTTTGAACTACCGCTTGGTAGCGTGCATGGGATTGTAAGGTGACTGTGGCTTTGACATGCTTCAACGACCACCATGCCTGTAGCTTGCAGCCCCCGGGTGAGCCACCACACACGCGAGTCGCTGAACCACCGCATTGCGCTACCACACGCCACACGCCTGAGCCACCGAATCCACTAGACACGAGTCATCGCAGGAAAGAAGGGAACCACCGAACCACCCGATTGATTGCGAGCCACTGAGCCAAAAGAACTATTCTGCGCTGATTTACCACGCGCCCGGATTAAACCACTGAAAGACAAGTCCTGTGCGCCAACCACCACGGATGCAAGCCAGCGTTACTTGAGACACCGGACGCGAGCCACCTCGAGCCACCAGTGCGAGTCACCAGTGGCCAACGGACACGGGCGCGAGCCAGCAGATTCAGAACCGCAAGCCAGCGGATACAGACTGGGAGCTGCACAGCTATTTGCTTTCTCTTGATGCCAAGAGCTTGAAAGCTTGGCGACAAGGAACTTCGGGTGAGTTTCTTCCTTCCTGAGGGCAATTGTCGTTAAGGGCTTGTACCGCCCTCATACGCAGTGGTGGGCATGTTCTGCGCTGCCGACAAAAGTAGTGGATGGCCTTTTCGTTCCGGTGCGATGGGTCACACTGTTCTTATTATAATCTGATTACTTTTTCCTCTTCATCAAAGATTTTGACTCGCGAGCACACACTTAATTTCTTACGGTTGCTCGCGAAAACCATTAGACGAAGTTAATGCGCTGTCAACAGGAGCCCTCTAAATATTATTCTGTGTGCACTTGTCACGCTTTCCTTTTACTGTTAACTTTTTACCCTTAACATATTACCGCCCGTTTTTTCGTTTGCAAAGCCCTAAATTATTAATAACCAAAGACTGGCTAAAATTGTAATTTATGTTGTTCACTTTGTTCACTTAGCTTGTATAATAATTAAGATCCCAGCCGTGACGCGAGCCACTGGATCGAGCCATCGAGCCTTATTGAACTGCTGGACACGACCCGCAGGCCACCGAAGAGGCCACAGGATCGAATCATTCAGCCACCGAAAAAAAAAGATCGAGTGAGACAAGAAAACCATCATGTGAAGGCAGGCATCGGGGGAGAAACGGTTTAGAAACCTAGAAACGGCCACCCAGATTTCAGACAGACAAAGGGAGGCAGGAACCTTGCAACAAGCAGTAAAAACAGATGAAGTAAAACTCACTGTACAAGTCGTGGGTAGTCTGCCGGGTGGGCTTGGGGCCCGTTAGATTGGTCCAGGGCCTTGGGTTTTCGCACTGGAACGCTGGACCGGAGTGTTCGGGCGAGATGGTTGCGGGCTTTCAACACGCCCATGCTGTCACAAGCTTCATTCAAGACGAGCGGCGGAGGTTTGCGCAGCGGCGAAATTTCCCTCCGGACGACAGGCCGCGACGCAGTCTGCCGCTGCATAGGAAGTAGCCCAATAGGTGCCAGCCCAGCATCCGGATGCGAGGCCGTAATCGGCGCATCGCCAGGTCCCAGCCTGCTAGCTTCTCCACTGCATACATGTGCATGCAAATCTTGGGAACGGTTGCAAAGTTTACCTGCACTTTTTGCAGCCGAGGATTCGTTCCAATCACGACTGCCGGAGTTGACAGACGAGCGAGCCCCAATCCAAATCGTTCTCCCGAAATCGCAAGCGAATGTTCAGCTTGTCAGGTGCAACGAATTCGCGTCCTCGCCTTGTTCGTGGAACTAGGGCGGGTTGCCGATGAGGCATTTGCGGCGTGCGCACCTGAGAGGGCAAACCATCTCATCATCAGACGGGAAGGATCTGCATGTGCATTTATGCAGTATTGTACAGTCCGCGCACTCTTTGTTTTGAGTGATGGGGACCAAACGACGACGGTTTCTCGGAAACAATGCCAGAAAGGATCCGCAATTTGACGCAAGGCTGGAATCGCGCAAAGCGCTTGACCAGGCAAGCGCAACGGCTGCTTGATTCCTGCTGCAACAGTCATACAGGCAACTCAGGCAAGAGGGCAGATTGGTTCCAAGCAGAGTGCCGCGAGCTGCACGTGTGGCCATGATGCCATTGCGAGGTCCTCAATTCGTTCTTGACCGACGATTTGCTTCTGAAGCTCAATGCTGTGGAGCTTATGGACGCGCGCGCCACCAAGCTAATCATCGCTTGTTTCAAGCAGTTCTTCTATGGCGCAAGGCGCATGATGGTGCCCGCATGTTTTTTCTGCAGTCAGAGGCCCAAATGCGTTCCAAATAGCATGCGGCCATGAATTCGCCGATCTTGAGCAGTGCCTCGGTTTCTGAACGCCCGAAGCAGCCGCAGACTGACACGGCGCTTGAAGTTCAATGTGGCTTACAGAGGAAAAGCATCTTAGCTCATCTCAGCTCCACTACGTCCCACATTACTGCAATAGGATTCGGGCTTTTGCGAGCTGTGAGCGATCACTTGTGCGCATGAGTGCTGGGAATGCTTGGTGTGGCTTGATTGGCTTCGAAGTTCGAAGCCGATCGGTGTTTCTTGTCATTGCTCTTCCAGTGCATCTTTGTTGTTGCCAACGGGCGTTGACACGTCTCAGGTAGCATCAGTCGGCTGAAGGAGTTCTACTTACGAAGGCTTTCGCAAAGCGAAACTGCTGCAGTTTCACGTCTACGGGCGAAGTCGGCAACCTTTTCAAGTCCGCGATGGTCACCAAGGACCCCGAAAATTTCGTCACTGCCTGGGGAACGTTCTTTGGGGTCAAACTGCTCGAAGCACGGAATGTATCACCACAGGACCTCTGGCATTGAGACAGAATGGGATGCGGCCAGCAGCAAAGGCTTCAGCAAGGCCATCAAAGTGGCGCATGTTCTGCGAAGCGTAGCGAAGCAACCCCCGGCATCGGGGCAACGACACCGATTGTCACCTGTGGTATGGTAAAGATGCATCAACATGATGTGGCACCAATTGTTACATGCGAGCGGACGCATCGGCATGTTGCATGCGTTCCTGGACAAATAGCCCCAGTCCTAACTGAACCTTGAAAAGTTCATCCGGGGGGACGCTGTTGTAATGAAGGGTTTCACAGCTGGGGGGGGGGGGGGGGGGGGCCATAAGAGAGTCCCCATCACGGTCCAGAGAGTCAAGAGGGGTCGTATGGCAGGTTCGCAGGGGTACCTGGAGGGGACTTGGGGCGAGGCGTCTGAGACCGGCTCCAGTGATGTGCAGACGTCTCCATCTTCCAGACTGCAAGAGTGGCAAGGCCAAACTAAGTCAAGCATTGACTCTCAATGACTCAACTTGTGAGGTCCAATCGCTCATGGGGTCGGAGACGAATCGAAAGCTAAGGAGTACCAAAGCTGTACCTCGCAAAAGTATGACAGACCTTGATGCAAAGCTCGAAGCTGTAATGGCCGGCCTGGAAAGCAGGAGCATCGTAGAGTGTCCAGAGCAGGATGTAGGCAGCTGTTCACGTCGGTGACCATGCTTCTGCTCTGCGTTCTGGAAGGATTCTGGAATGCCTGGAGCCGAATGCAATGCGTCATCTGAAGCAGCTCAGGCCTGGCACTCAGTTGGCAGACAATATCAGAGAATCGTGCCTTATCAATATGTAGAAACTTGGCAGGCGCCACCTCGAAACGGCGTTGCGCTGGACCACCTCACCAGAGATCAGTGTGATCGGAGAACAAACCGCTCAGCAGGCAAGGCCTAGCGGAGGTTGTTCTCAAATGCTTTCCAGATGCACTGACAGGCCTGTCCATTATGTGTCATGGTTTCTCTGAAGTGGCTCAATGAGTTCAATTGCAGGTGAAGCAATTGAATGGAACAGCTCGCGTCTTGGCCCCCGGAATTTACGTGTTCTCCAAGCGTGCCGAGCATCTCATTGTCAAGAAGGAAAGTCTGGGAGCATGGAAGTGCTAGGTGGATCTAGGTTGCATCTAGCCGCATATAGCCTTGAATCTTGCAGCTCCAAGACGCGTGCAGGAGAGAATTCTGAAGAAAATGGCCAGCAACATGACGAGTGATGCAGCAAGTGTCCACAGAAACCGCTTGGCAGACAGCCTGCCAGATTTGAGAGTCCCGGCATCCCAGTACCGCGCGGCGTCGACCATTGTTAGTGAGCTGGACAGTGAGTGCGGGACTGGCACCGCCACCATGTATGCCGAGTATGCCGACACCGTCACATGGGATGCGTGGGATGGCCCGGACGTTGGCAATATCCAAGAGGTGAACGACTACCTCGCACTGAAGACCGAAGATGAGCAGCGGCGCTGGTTTTACTCTCAATGCCTAGCTGCAAAGATGAATGCCGCAGATCAGGCAAAGGCCCGGAAAATCTTGGTTTCCGACCTTTACATGAAAGTGAAATCTGCGGCGCTACCGGTCGGAAGTTGGACGATGTTCATTCGTGGAGAGCTTGCGCCTGCTACAGCATAGTACAGAGCACAGTCCAAAAATCCAGGACTGGGCATCTTGGCTGTCGTAGAATTGGCAGCTGGGCGAACGCTCAGTAGTCTCAAACCTCGCGAAGCACTGTGCTGAAATTTGCATGGCTGGTTTTGGCTGGCATTTAAAAATCCGGTAACCCTTGATACCGGTTGTGTCTGTCCCATAGACTCTGCTTACACAGAGGCGATGCGTGATGCCAGGAGTCGACTGAACCAGCCAAGCACGTGTCAACAAAAGTGAGTGCTGTTGATGCACAACGTGAGAATGAAGAAGTTGGCGCTCGTCTGCGATCATCTGAGATGCCGGTTCACCAACAGGCTTGGCTCCTACGAACGTGGACAGGCGCAGTTTGTGACAAGAGGGCCATACATTGCTGCATGGCCATGGCAATTAGAAGCGAGCGTGTGTTCTGTGTGGGTGTGTGCAAGAAAATTTGTATGCCTATTATCGAATTCGTGCGCACAAAACGCTTACAATTCCATAATTTAAGCTCACTTTATTCACTAGAGGGAGCCCATGAATGGGAGAAGGTAATGAATAGCTGGTACATCTGTGAGTTACATTCCAAGGGTGTGAACGGTTGGACCAACAGTTGGATGAAAAGATACGAGAAAACCGGGTCTTTGCACCATCAATCTCATGACTCCTTTGTCAGGATTTCTTGGCCAGGGCCAATGTCCCCGACAAGTTGGCGAAGGATTTGGCGGATCCATATTGTCAGCCCGTTAGACAGGCATTGCATGCAATCCGGCATGCGTTCAGCAGCAGTCCTGCCCGCGCTGAGGTGATCCATCTGTCAGGCTGTGCGTGACACGCCTGCTTGGATTCATCGCAGGACATGGGGTATCAAAAAGTCAGGGCGATTGCACCGGGCATGGAGGAATTTACGCTCTGTGCGCACTTGAAGAACTTCATACCGTAACCCACGGACCGGCATTTGATGTGATATGCATGTGTCCACGGTTACAGCAGATCATTCACTCACACTTTTGGCCGGAAGGGCGAAGTGCTGCTTCGGCAGAGTTGCTCCTCAGCAGCCACGAGGCAGCCAGCCACGGTATTGGGAAGATAGGAAGAGCCTGAATCATCCGGGACCCTGAGATCTGAATGTCCACGAATGCGGGATGCGGATCAAAAAAAAAAAATATTTAGGATCAAGAAATAATTTATTCTGTTCTTCTGACAGAGAGAGGGAAGGGGAGGGAGAGTGGGAGAAAAGGAGGGAGGGAGGGAGGGAAGGGCGGAAGGACGCAAGGAAGGAAGGAAGGCAGGCAGGAAGGAAGGAAGCAAGGAAGGAAGGAAAGGAAATGAAATGAAAGGAAAGGCATGCTTGCTTCAAAGCATATGAATATCCTTTCCACACCAATGATGCGAGCGTTGTGTTTGCAAATGGGGGGGGGGGGGGGGGCTGCGCCCCCCCCCCCCCAACCCCCCCGCTGCTTTCTTAGTAGTCCCATGATGCGAGCACTTTTTTGCAAAAATACATGAAGACACAATAAGATCCAATAACATACAAGAATATACTACAAAAGATGCAATAATATACACTAATACACAAAAACACAACATATTCAAGTATAGACCATAACATGCAGCAATATACACGTACAAAAAGAATAACCTACAACAATTTTCAGTCATTGACAATAATATTCAATAATAGACAACAATAGACAAAACATTTCAATAAACTACAACAGTATGTTCAATAATTTTCAAAAATATACAAAAATATACAGTAATATAGAAAAACACAATGGCATACAATAAAATAAAGTAGTATACACAAACATACAAAAATATACAATAGTAGACAATAATATACAAAAATATACAAGAGTATACAAAAACATACTATAATATAGAATAATCTGCAAGAATATACAAAGAAAATTCAATAATATGCAATAATATACAGTAATCTGCAAAAAAGAGAATAATATACACAAAATAAACAAACTCACAAATACATGCAATAATATGCAATATGATACAAAAAACACAAGAAAATACAAGACAATACAGTAATACTCAACAATATATACAACAATATACAATATCATGCAAGAAAATACAATGTCATACAATATATTATACAAGAATATACAATACTTTGCCATAATATACATGCTTCAGAGGATACGCATTTTTTGAAACTTCTAATGCCAAGATGCCAGCATTGATTTGCAGCCTTTGCAAACTCAGAAGTGCTGCTATTTACAGTATTTCCAGCCTCTGAAATCGCAGAAATGCTGCTATTTTCAATATTTGCAGCCTCTGGAAACTCAGAAATGCTGCAGTGTATGTACAGTATTTCCAGCCTCTGAAAGTGCAGAACTGCTGCTAAATACAATATCTGCAGCCTCTCTCTGGAAACTCAGAGATGCTGCTATTTTCAGTAGTTCCCGCCTAAATGCTGTGGTTTTTCGGTATTTAGAGCTTGTGAACGGCCAGAACTGCTGCATTTCTGAGCGTTACAGCCTCCGCTCCGCTGGCAAGAAGCTTTCGAGGCCTTCAGTAAATTGTTTTTTGATCCCAAATAAGTTTTTTTTGATCCGCCTAGACTTCAATTATTTTTTGATCCCAAATAATTTTTTTTTGATCCCCTACCCGATTGCCCAGTGCAATTTATCAGTTGCCAGGCGCCATTCCCACAGTCGATCGCTGGCCTGCTCGATAGCAGTGTGCCCAATCGCCACAGTTTAGAATGGCACAGCGTGGCACAGCGTGGCTCAGCCCAGTTGTGAGGCCGTGATGTATCGGAGAGGCTTTGCGCCATCAATGCTTGGGCGGGGGTCTTGCTGAGCCTGACCAAATGATAGCATTAGCTGATCATGGAACTGTTGACGCGGCGAGTTGCGAGCCTTTACGCCGGATCCAACGTCCCAAAGGCAACTGCCTCGCTGCAGTCCGCGGGCCTCCGCTTCTTCTTGAGGCGCGATCCAGCCCATTCTATGTCCGGAGCTATTTGCCAGAACATTCCGCGTCACCAGGTGGACACCCTTGCTTCAGGACAGCTCTGCGCCCAAAGCTTCGCAACCAGAAAACTACGTGGGTCCAGCAGGGCTCCGTAGAAGTATGAGCGTGAGCAAAGAAACACCATTCAGCTCGATCATGAACCATAATCAGGAGATGGTGTCGCTCGTCAGCGCGACCCAAAATGAGGTGGCCAAGGGGGCCATGGATGCCTGGGCCACGATCCTGCAGGCTTCTTTTCCTCCACGGCATTTCTTTGCAACGATCACATCCATCACAGAGAAGAATGTGGCTGTTATGCTCGTGCTTGTCGCTGGTTTCAGGGGCGTACCCCTGGCACTGACGAGGCTGCTTCTGAGAGTGGTAAGAGACCAGACACCTCCAGCGGAATTCTACCAGATGTCCTGCCTTGCGATTCGGCAGATTCCTCAAGAGCGAAGAAGAACATTCCATGAGGAGGAAGCCAAGAGCTACACAGTACACCACGCGAAGCATGCAAGTCGCCCTAGGCACCCAGGAACACAGTGTCTTCCATCAAGGGCAAGGACACAGAAGACCTGTGCCCGTCGCCTTGTGTCGCCTCAAGCCTTTATCTGACAGTAGCCCACTAGCCCCAACTAATTGAGAAGTACCGGGTCATACTGAGAGGTGTATGAGCAGGAGCCAATAGGAGCCATGGGGTTCACAAAGAAGGTTGCCCAGGACGGCTTGCCGCACCGTTCACCAATCATGGCCTGATTAAGAAAAAGCGGATTGCATCATGTTTTGCATCTCGGCGTGCAGCATCCCAGCATCGCCATCAGAGGAGCCTCCAGATTGGCAGCAATTCTATGTGATCCTTGATTGTCGAACTGATGAGTTCGTGGGAGCGAGTGCCAGTCTTCGGGGTGGGCTTCACCCCTCAGGCCCTAAGATCTAAAGTGACACCAGATGGCGGGATTGCCAAAAGCATGCCACGCCACAACGCCAATGAGCAACAATACCATGACGCTGAAAGTTCAGATCTGGCAGGAAAAACTTGGCAAACGCAGGTAGAACGCGGCAGAATAGCATGTTTGCTGTGCCTTGCTTGAGGAACTATGAGGAACTGAAGCAGGCCGTGGTGAAGATGGCCGAGGAGGAGGAAGAAGATTTGGCTTCTGGACGAGGACGCCTTATGCCTCTCGGACTGCAGGGCAGCCAGGTCGCGACATATGCCATCAGTGGGATTCCGCAGCTTCCGCCGAAACTTGCAAACCTAGGACGGCAGACATGCTGGACGACACGACGAAGATGGGGCGCTTCCAAGGAATGCTACGCGCAGAGCTAAACAAGGTGAATGACTTTGCGTGCGCCCCCTGGCCGCACTCCACCACACTGTCTCATCTGGCACAGGAAATGCACGACTGCCCTTAATGCTTAGGTCTAGGACTGCTTGCTCCTACTACAAGTGCTCGTTCGCAGCATTCAGAACCGAAGAAATCATAGACACTACATGCTCAGCAACTGCTATGTCGCGCAGGTGAAGCACGAAGACATCTTCCTTGGCCTGCGCAAGGTGTGTGCCCAATGCAAGAAACTGCAGCCAGACGACGCTCACAGCAATCCCGGGTCTGGATGTTGGAGGAAGGGTGATCGTGTGCGGGCTGAGAACGCCACATGCAACATTTTCCTTCCTTGCTCGCCAAGGAAATCGAAAACAAGGCAGCCAACATTCGAGAGCTGGGCGAACAGATTGTCCATTTGGACTCGTAGCCCGGCTGGGACGATGGTTAAGCGATGCCATGTTGAACCTGGACAGTATCATCTTCTCGGAGAAAGCCTCATCAAGGCAACGGTTCATCGGGCTGCACAGCCACTACTGTCATCTTAGGTTCGTCCGCCTGAATTACATGGGGTTCCAGACTCTGACCGAGAAGTTTGACGACCTCCTGGGAACCGCAGGGAGCGCACTGTTCGTGTCAGGTTTGCACTGCGAGCCTTTCTGCCTCCTGACTGAGAAATTGAGTTTTATTGAGTTTTGTTTGATGATCCCCTGTTGATTCCAATGGTTCTTCAAGCTTTCACTCCCGCGGGTGTTGCCACAGGTTGCGGCAGATTGGCATGCTAATGGTACATGAAAGAAAGCAGAGGTCCTCCATCGTGAGGACTGACCATGGTGAATCCAGTCGCGCGCAAGCCAAGAATCCTAGGCAACATCCGCTTCGACGACATTCTGATTTTGCTGGGCTTGGCATGGGCGCTTTGGCGAACCGCCCAGTCCACAGAGCAGAGCAAGGAGGGGCTTCTTTGGCCAGTCAAGGCTTTTCGTTTAGGCTTCCTTCAAGCGACACAGAGCTCGTCGGAGGCTTGAGTTTGTGTGAGTGTGCCTCGTCTCTGCGTCGAGCGCGAGGATGCGACATGGAAGCCGCCGGAGAGTTTCATCCGGCGCCTTCCCTGCTACCCAGTAAGTAAGCATCCACTTCTCTTCAGGTTGTTGAGGTTGGAGGGACGAGGTAAGGCATCGTCCTCGGTCTGAGGAACACCTCGAAGTATTGGGTGGCACCCGAGAACGTGGTTCTTCTGAAGACACGCATTGTGGAGCACTTACCGCACCTCCACTGCCGATAGCTTGTCAAGATAGTTTCCAGACGGAGCATGAAAGACGGATCAGCCGAGGTATTTGATCTTTGGTGCATCGCAAACGGAGCCTGCTCCGACTCAATATCCAGATTTTTTTTGCCTACGGCTACTGACCCGTAAGACCCTGCTTAAGTACACGTACTGGCATGCTCCACTGTGATGTTCGGAGACTTCAGGAGCAAGAGAAGCTCCTGGAACCGTTTGCGTTGCTGGATCTCGAGTATGATGGCCTTGATGACCAAAAGGATGGGAACCGAATTGAGTTGAATAATTATGAATAATTGCTGCTTTGAGAGAGTTTTTGAGGTTTGAATTGGAGAGTATTGCCCAATGCCAACGTACTTGGTTGATTCTTTGGAGGATCTGCCCCAACTTCGGTTGCAAAACTTTCTTTGCGGTGGGATGCGGTGAGAATGGGATATCGCGAATATACAGCGTTTTGCAGCACAGAGGGGCGTAATTCAATTTAGACATTCCAGCTCGCAGGCTCTCAGTGCCTACTCTGGCACCATGGAGGAGTCACAGCTTCTCAGCTCCGTGTACTTCGACAGTGAGGGCCTCGACATGCAGCTGCGAAACAGAAAAGAAACACTTGACAAATGCACGAGACATTAAGAGACTTAAAAAATGAAGCGTTGCACAGAACGCCTTGCTACCTTGGCCGTCGGCGAGTTCAGCCTGAGGTCCCAACATGGCAACACAACGCACATGACCTGCAGGTGCCACACAAGCAGGCTATGCCACTATGCCTGCATAGACCCCAGAGCTTCGGACGTCCTCCGCATGCTGCGGTCGACTTTCGACGTCACCGACACGAGAAGTCGTGAGTTGGAATGCTCACAGCGGGTGAGCGAGAGAGTCATTTGGGACTCGCTTGGCGCCTATGGACGAGAGACTACAGGAGCACGGGGCCGCAGCAGGGTTTTATGATCGAAGAGCCCGAGGTGTCCCGGTCACATGATGACAGCTGCCAGGGACGTCAGGCATTGGCAGCTCCATTTTCCAACCTCCTAACACGTTGGGGATGGCGGGCAGACAAGCTGGAAACACATCTTGATTTCCTGCGACGACGACAGCAGCGAAAATTGGACTGTCAAAACAGCCACGACGAGCAACACCTTAATCATCTTCCACTTATTGGGCCGAGGTCCCGAGGCCACCAGCTACCAGGAGCGGATCCGTCGCGAAGAAAGTGCTCGGTTGGTAAGGCCTGTCTCTCTCTCTTGTTTCGGTTTTTTTACGTCATTTATCGACTTATAAAGCGTAAGAAGTGCTCTTAATGACAGTTCACATTTGTGTGTTCTTGGGGGTTGATCGTACTTTGCTGCAGGTTGTTGACTCGCATATTACGAGAGACCCAAACCCAAGAAGCCAGTAAGCCATCTTCATCGGGCAAATGCTCAATTGATTGGTTTCGAAGGTGATGCCCATGCTCAAATTCAATACTATCACGTCAACATGCGTCACAGGTGGCTAGACTCAGATTTGCCGCTGCTTCGGCCAATGTTCCACTTGTTCTTCTGCTCGGTCAGTCGCTCTCTGCAAAGAAAGCCGCCAGCGCACCACTGCACGGAGCTTTGCCAAGCACCCCAGCTCTGCCGCGTGCTGAAAAGCAACAATGCACACGGTGTTTTTGGTTGCTCGGCCAGCCACGTAATCAGCAACACGCAACGCACTTACCAGCACTTGCTCTTTATGACAGGATTCTGTAAGCATGTGGCTCGTAAATAGTAAGACCCATCGCAATTTTAATTATGACCAAAGAAGCCGAGCGGCAGACACTCATGAAGAAGCGGGAAAGTGGAAGTCGAAGCAGTTCCTGAACGGGTGAACCTCTGATGCGTGCATTGCTTCGGCAGGTTCCGCTGGTACGGAGAGAGACCGTGCACGCACTCAGCACTTCTTGTCCTAGAAGTTAGACATCAGACGTGCCTGAATAGCCATCCTTTTCGATCCCTTCTCAACCCAGGGTACAACTCGCAAATCCTGAAGGCAGCAAGGGTTCTGCTTGTGGATGCGTTTTATGGGATGAAGAGGGGAAGGATGGTGAAGGCAACGTTGGTCGCCCAGCACGCACCATGTCAGCGAAGCTCATGCAAGGAACAACCAGGAACCCGACAAAGAGATCTACGTGGAACGAAAGATCCACCACGAGGGCTGGGGTGGTAAGAAGTCGGCGAAAGAGCGATGTGTGATTCCTCAGGAGGCACACAACCGAGCACATTCTCCATTCATGCGGAGCTGTGAGCACTCGCATGGCGAAATGCACTGTCATGCTCGGTGACTAGCACAGGATATCTTTAACTTCATGAAGGGCAAGTTTGACATTGACGGGTATTTCAAGCAGCACCTTGGAGTCTGTCAATGGTAATTGTTGAGCCCAGACAGATGGCAGAGTTCATGCCTTATGCTCTGCAGTCTCCCTGACGATGGGGCACGCAAGTCACGCGTGTGATCGCAGCAAGGTGGCTAATGGGTTGTAAAGGTACATCCATGTGCGCTCTGAGCATCCGAGGCTGGCGGAGCAGGGCATGTACTCCGAGAAGGCCCGGAAGAACATGAAGGCCATCGCAGTGGAGGCAGGAGTCGCAAGCGATCTCAAGCTTTCGACCAGGTAGCATAACTAGCTGCATGTCCACAGGTGAACTATCTCATCCAAGAAAAGACTCCTGGCTGCCATCCCACTGCGAAGACCCAACCAACATGTTTTGCTTTGTATGATTTGTATGCCGAACGAGATGATCAGACAACTCTCCTTGCTCACAGCTTGCCATTCCACCCAAGGAAGCTGCAGCCCATCATTCGCACATCATACTACAGATGCGCTTTTCAGCAAAACGCCAGCAATCAGCCGGATGTCGATATTTCTAGAGTGCGGCACGAAGTTTGTCTTTGGCCAAGGCTGGCAACTGACAACAAAGTCCGCATCTCTCTTGACACGCAGATGTCTCTCCTCAATGTGCCTGTGCTGCAGTGCTGCACGTTTGCCTTGTGTGTGCACGCTGCCTGACAGCCCAGGAGTACATGGCAGGCGGTCACCAAAACAAGCCCTGGTGCATCTCGCTCGCATCACGCATGGCGCATACAACCTCTTGCACAACGTCATGTCTAGTTGCGACAGGGATTGCTAAGGCCATGTCGCGTCGGACAGCTTGCAGCGGGACGACGTCTACCGCTTCCCGTTTCCAGACTTGCATTGTAGCCTGCAAAGTTGAACTAGGAGCAGCTCGGGCACTTGCACGTCCCATGTTGGGAAGAATGTGCACTTAGCAAAGGGCACGAGTGTTCCATCTGCCCCTGCCCTTAGTCGCCAAGCCATTGTAGCAAGCGGCCTTGAATTTGGGATGCAGCTTTGCAGAATGCTCGACTGATGTGTTTGGGCATGGTGCGCATCCTGTCGAGTCAAGAGACTTAGCATCACCTAACTACCCGTTCCAACCCACCCATACTTCCACTACTACGGCTACTACGGTGAAATGGGAATTTTAGGTTCGGTTTTCCACGTCCCTCTTCCCCTGTGCTGTCCTGAAGCGCAACATCTTCAAAAGGCTTCCTTTAAGTCCGCTTCTTAGCGAGCAGCGAGACTGCGGATAGCACGGGGTTTGCAAAAAGCTGCTGCCGCAGTCGGGATTAGATATTGGAGGGGTGAATTCTCCAATCAATCGGCAGCAGGTCCGTATTGCTCTTCTGACGGAGACATGTGTTGCACCCGCTGGTCAGATTAGATCAAGGAAGGAAGGCACTGTGGCTGCCAAAGACTTCTGGAGGTCCATCAGCGTCATTGCCCCTCATTTCACACTGACACTGGGAAACTGAGGTATGCTATCCTCGAGATCAAGCTGCAGGACGTTTCTGAAGCCCCGCTCTGGCTTCGGCAGACATTGAACGACATCGGCGAACATCTGTCATGTTTGTAAGTATGCTTCCGTGTAACATAAAGTGGCTGATAGTAGCAGTCTGAGCACAAATTTAACGTCATAATAATAATAATCATCATCATAATCATAATAATAATGGTTGCAGCATCAACAGACGAGAGTGTTGGCCTCGGGTTCGGGCCCGTCCTTAGGATGTCAAGGTCCTTACAGTACCATGCTTACCCTAGCATTCTTTGACAAAAGGGGCGTTCTAGCGCCACTAGGTCACTAGGCCCATTCGTCATCATTCGTCGTAAATTGTAGCTGCTCTCGTGGGCAACGAGTAGCTGCAGTCACACAGGCAGGTAACAAAGACCAAGCAACCCGGCGTAAGCGGCGTAAGCCAGCTGTATTTGGCGTGATTGATTTTGTCTTGTGGTCTCAAAAGTCTGTCGTGCAAACAAGCACATGCATCGGCCAGGCGATCCAAGTTCACAAGTTCTCCAAGTTTCAGCTCTCTTGATGCAAATGGCCATGTGGAACAAGCCTATTGTTTATTGGCATCAGCAACGCAAGTGGCTGCCTGAGGCATGCCATGGCCTTCCTTCATCCGCAGCGGGTGCCGATCCTGCCGCACTGGCACAAAGACTTTCAGGAATGGCAGAACAAGAAGGAGCGCCGACTACGTCCCAAATCTTGAATATCTCCCATTGAGCCCAGGGGACCCCGAGTAGACTCAAGCCCTCCTCCTGTAAATGCCCTTTCCGTCCCATCCCAAGTTGCCCCCAAAAAACGATTACGAACAGCTACCGCAGCTCACTGAAGGAAGATGCTCAAGCCAGCTTGAAGCGCCGGCAGAAACTGAGCCGCCTCGGTGGCAAACCGTACAGGATTTTGTAGTCCGGCTCCAGGGTCTTGCATCTTTGACATGGCTTTGCAAGGGTCTGTTACTATAGGCCTGCAGGGTTCTGTTGCCTGGTGCGTTAACATTCGGGACATCCATGCGGAGATGTACTTGGTCCCGGGCCACTGTTTTGCTGAGGTGTTTACTCTGTGTTTGGGAGATTGTGATGTGACGTTATGGGCACACAGGAAAGTATGGCCCTCAAAGCGTTAACTTCGGAGGTTAGGGTGCAAAGCACCTTAAGTTGAGGCGCGAAAGAACGAATCCAGATGAGCAAGGGGTCCTCCTTCACGGAGCAGGACCTGAATGTGGCTCAGTCTTTATTGCCGTCTTCGAGCTTCATGTCAGGGCTTCTCATGAGCTTCTCATGAGCTTCTCATGGCTTCTCAGTCTCAGGTTCCAGTTGTGGAGAAGGTGGTCGCTCCTCAGGGCGAGGGCCATTTCCTGAAGGACCGTGCGTGTTACTGTTACCAAAGTTTCTCACAATGCTGGAACTCAGCACCCCGAAGAGAAGGCCAGGTTTCGAGTGGCATGTGTGTTACCGGCACTCTTCGAAGCAAAACCACGGTGGTATGCGCCGAGACTGGGTGTTTTGTACATGCACTGACAGGAAGCTTCGCTACAGTGGTGGCAGGGCACAAACACGTAGATGATTCGATGCCAGTTGACGTAACACGTGCCTGTCAAGCAACTCCCTGTCAGCGCAAATTGTTCACAACACAGCTGACTCAGACTAAAATTCGCAGGTACGTCGAGTTGATCAGACATCGCCCAGTTGACCTCTTCGTTGTGTCACCATCCACTGGCATGGGTGACCCCCCCCGGCAGTGGAAAATTTTGGCAAAGGTTCCGAATCATATGTTACACACACACACACAAGAGCAGCACTCGTGCACACAGTCCGGGTGTCCCGGGCACACATGGCATGAAGAAAGTTTCATGCTACCTTCAGGAAGCCCACGCAACGGGGGCTGTTGCTGGACCCTCAAGCTAATTCATGGGCTGTGAATCTTCTTGGACTGTCGGAGGACATGGAAAATTTGGATCCGAAGGCCGTCTTCGCAAACGAGCGGACCTTACTTCACTATGCGGAGAAAGGCATGCAGCATGGCTTAATTATGCTTAGCCCTTGACCGCGCTGAGAAGTGGTAGAGTTTCTCTTGAAAAGCGGTAGTGGAAATCTCATCTTGAATAGAATGGCACGTTAGTGTTTCTTGCTTTGGCAAAGTCTTACCCTGCTGCCAGAGATAGGCAAGCTAGTCACAGTCAGCGTGGTATGAAGGTACGTCGCTGCGGTGGCGGTTGTCACCATCAACCATCACAGCAAGGACATCAAGGCCAGACACCACAAAGTGGGCACGCAGGAGGGATCGTGGTGCATGCGGTAATTATCATGCACTGCCGTGCTGTGTTTTTCTCGGCCCTCCTTTGATGCCCCTGTACCTGTTACTGGTTCGGGCCTCTGACACAGCGCTGTCTAGTTTGCTTTTGGATCCCTCTTACGGCACCTGCTGCAGATCTTTGGGCTGGCGCTTTCGGCACCTCAGCTGTTCTTCAGTCCTTGTCAAGAGGATTGGCAATAGAGAGGTTGCCGTTTCCTGCGCATAAAACACAAGCTCCAGTGGCGCACGTGTCCGTAGGCTGAGAAGTTGAAGGCCAGAAGCCCAACCGAAGCGGAAGCCCAGCCTCATGAAGAATCTTGAAGTGCGCAAACACAACCAGAATATGAATAACAAGGGCTCCATCAGTATGGCAGAACCTGCCGAATTGGAAGCTTCTTCCTGCTTCGTTATGCAATATTAGGAGCCGCAAGTAGGAAAAGTTCACGGTCATGGTTGCAGTTAGGGCCGACAGTTACAATTTCAGCAACACTGCAATCACGCTTCAAGCAACTTGGGGGGGGGGGGGGGGGGCTTTCATCGTGCCCCACGAAAAAATACCCCAACACCAAGGCCCTGACTGCCGCCTACTATGTGTGGATCCTCGCGTCGTGGCAAGATTGTGAATCTGAAGCAGGTTGCAGGTCCAAGCCGAGGCACTGGCTAAGACCGGCTAATGCGACTGAGGTGGCTTATTTCCATCGGCTCAAAGAGATCACCGGGCGCTCCAAGGTGGTCAAGAACCGTTGCGCAGCCGCATCATGCATAAGCGCTGCATAAGAGGCACATTTGCATTCACATGGAATTTCTAAGCCAATTCTGAGCCCCTTTGGCCAAGGTGAAGCTCGCTTGGATTGGGAAGTCGGCCCATGGCTGGCAGCCGGCATGGTCTTGGTGGTGCTTGTCTACACCTTGAGCAAGGCAGGTGTGCATCACATGGTAGGACAAAGGCGGCTGTGAGACTTTGTTTCAAGGCCTGGACAAGAGCCAACGATCACCATCACCAATGATTTTTCTTCAGCGGTATCATTGCAGCATTATGCGAAGCCCGCGAGGGATGGGCACTCGAATACTGAGCCATGCCTGGGCTGAGCTTCGCGTACAGATTGCTTGAGACTAGCGTTTCATAGCGTTTCACTGGAGATTTGCAGTGGCCCTCTGCTGGTTCTTGAGTCGTAAGATGCTCTGAGACTCCCTGCGCCCTTCACTAATCGACGCGGAAAACTGCCAGAAGACCACGGCAAAAATTGTTATACGTAGTTTTGACATGGTGAGAGCCCTGGCCATCGGCCAGCAAGTTCCCCCATTAGACCTTGGTCATGGGGTAGCTCTGCCGGAAACCTGCCGGGCTCATTTCTCTTGCATCTTTGCAGCTTGAAGTCAAAAGGCTCCAGATTCCGCACCTACGGCCTGTAGCCTGTAGCTGCACTTGCAGCATGAAACTTGAACTAGTCTCGGTGACTTGTGAGAGGTGCCAGCATCTTTGCTTTCTGCAGGATGGGCCGCGCGAGGTCTGGGCTATTGCAGAGCAGCAGGTGACTCCAGCCGCCGGGGGCGCGAGAGTCCATGGCCGCCATGGCCGCCATGGCCTGCAAAGGGAGGGGGGTCTGAGGTCGTGAAGAACCTGTCCGTCAAGCCATTCCCAGATGTGCGAGGCCCTTACTTGTAACAATCTTCCTACAGCAGGTCCTGACAAAGCAGTTCCCACACAGCAGTTCTCCTGTTTTGGGCAATGAGTTCAAATCCTCTTCCGAGGCGTCCTCACACCTGGCGCCTGCTTGCTGTCTTGGCGAGGCCGGGGCCTCGCCACTTCGCGTGGATGCAAAAAATAAAGAAACCGAACCCTAAACTCCCTAAACTCCCTAAACTCCCCTAAACTCCCTAAACCCCTCCCCCCTTCTCCCCCCCCCTTCACCCCATTTCACCCCCCCCCCCTCCATTTTGTGTTTCATGGCGCTTTTTTCTGCAGGTCTCGTTCTGCTGCGCAGCAAGCCCTGCAGTCTCAGGAGAGGGCAGGGCATGCCAGGTTCAGCCCTGAAACCAAACCACCCCTCAAAAGCTCTTCCCTAAGCATTGCTCTGCCCAGTCGCTCACCCAGACATCGTGCAAGCTTCCATCTTCGAGTATCACCGAACCTGGGACAAAGACGGGAATTGACACAGCCCTCAGGAAGTTCAGGAGCTCCTGTCCCGCGACTTAGACAGCTCGAGTGGTTGTAGCATGCTGACAGTGTGCTCCACCGTGCTGATGCATGCTGCAGATCTTGGCGCACGGTGTTTCGGTGCTCAAGATTCCACTTCCAGATGGTGCTGGGCAAGCTTGAAGTTTAGCATGAGACTCGGCCGAGGTTGAACTTCCAGTCGGAGGCGCTTTCGAAGTCTGAACATATCAGGAACTTCAAGGTTTCGAATGGGTCCTGCATGCCGTAGGGATGCGTGTGAACTGGATGGGGGCTCCACTGCTTTGCGGTTGGTAAGGGCATGGCGAACCTCCAAGCGCCCTGCTAGCAACCAGTAGTTCCTTGGCCTGACTCAAAAGCCAAAACCTCGGAGTTCTGATATCCAGACGAGCACCGACGCCCGCTACGCAAAGCACGATCTGGCTCTGGGCTCGGAGCCGCTTTTCCCCTTTGCTTTGATCCCGCAAGGCGGCACATGTCGACACTGCGTGGGCTCCATTGTTGAAAAGTTTAACTACTGTTTCCGCCATTTTCTGTGCCACGTTCTTGACGTTCCAAGGTAAAGACCTTGATGCAGTGGCACTCCAACTGGCTCAGCGGCCTCCTGGACAGCCAGGCTTCGAGTGCTCCCCGCACAAGTGAAGCACCTGTAGGACATTGTAGGACCAGTGTAGGACCAGTGTATGACCAAACCTAATCTACAAAGTTGAGTGTGCGCGTTGATGGCGTGCTATCTATCAGTACCCCAGACGGATCTCTTCTTGCAACATGTGCCACCTAGTGTTCTCGGCTTTTCTTGTTTTCAAAAGTCTCGGGCAGCAGCTAGTGCAGGTGTTCGAGCTGATGTCGCAATTTGCTGAGCAAGGGCGCGCCTGCTCGCTTTTGAACGCTTTTGCGTAAGCCTTCCTCAAAGTCGTTTGCTGCAATGTTGGGTTCAGTCGGAGAATCTCATAGCAGATGCACCAGGCCATACTGGGTCCCCCGCGCTGCAGGGACCGCCATGAGAGATGAAGCGGCATAATGCGGGCTAGTTCAGCAGCCAGGAAGTCCCTCAGCAGCTGCAGAAGAAGAAGGGCCCGAAGGGCTTGTTACAGGCTTCTTTGACTTGCGAGGGCAAGAAGTTGGCTAGGCTAGAGCGGCTAGAGTCGGCTAGGGCATATCGCACAAGACCCATCCAGGCTTGCACAGGGAATGGGTTTTGCGCTTGAGACCGTGATGCTTTCTTCGGCAGGAGGAAAAGTTTAGGGCTCCAGAGAAGCGACGGCTTTGTACTTAACCGTTTGGGATGTTGGACGCTGTTTCTTCAGTCTCAAGTGGAACACAAAGTGCTGTTTAAATTGCAGAGGGCCAGGGTCCGGACTTGCCATTCCGGTCGAAGTTGCTTGCAACGAAGGGTTTGTCCCTCGTACCTCTGTGTGTGGGTGTGGGTGTGTGTGTGTGTGTCTCTCTGTCTGTCTGTCTGTCTGTCTGTCCGTCTGTCTAGCTGTTTGTGTCTGTGTTGGGTGATGGGTCGCAAGCGGCTGAAGAGAATCCGCCCATGTGCCTAGACCTTTGCACTTGGATGGGAGAGAAAAAAAAGCTTTCTCGGCCCAAGTCATGGATCCTGAGCAATTTTCGGGATTTCCGAGCCATGAATGCTGTATTGTAGCATACAGTCGTATTGTTTTGGTGGTTGTCGCATTCGTCACTTACATTGGCATCGAAAACAAAAACGGACGTAAAAGGAAAAGACGAAAAGTAGCCCCTGCTTGGCAGCCGCCACTAGTCACTATCACTAGCACACACCGCAGACCAGGCTCATTGCAAGCATTTGCAAGCAGCACTAGCACCAAGAAGGGCAGAGCCTCTTCGCGCATACTGCGAGCCTGTAGACGGAGCTCTGTCCATGCCAAAGCGGAGACAGGCCGCTCCATTCCGTTTCCCTTACCGACCCGCATGTGGCTAAAACATGTCGATAACCTGACTCCGCCTTTGAGAGGCTGTGCTCCGTCCGCGGAGTGCAAGGCGAGTGGAGGTGCAGTAAAGAAAGCAATCGAAGATCGGTGGCAAACAGTGTCCGCACCGGTCTCCCAGTCACCTGGTTGCCAGGTCGACTCCTCGCCTCACAGCCGAAAGCCTAAGAGCAAAGGCCATGTTAATTACTCTGCTACTCTTACGGTACGCCACTGTGCGGTATTTAACTGTATGTTGACATGTTGGATCATGCGTAAACATGTCTCAACATCTCTGCCCAGATCGCGTGCATTGGTTTCAGGCAGCTTTGTCTGTCTCTATCAGAAGCAACAGATGGGCCCTCTGGCCTGAGGCCCTGCATGCGAGCGCAGCAGGAGCCAGTGGCCCGGACACGTTTGCCAAGAGTGAGCACCCTTCTGAACTCTTCTCCTACGGAATGCTGTCACGAATGGAGAAGACAGAGGGAGGGAAGGTAGATGTAGGGTCCACTGCCTGAGTGGACATAGTCAATGAACACGTCGCAGGTGGTTTCTGAGGTATAGTCGCGAGACCAACACCGGTGGACGCAGAGAGACGTGGGAGTCCACAACGACTAGTGCAAGAAGCACTTGTCCCAAACTACGTCTCCTAGAGTCCTGACTGGGCGAAACCGAGCAGTGACGACCCACATTCCCAGCAATTCCCAGCAATGCCAAGACCGACAAGTCTGGAGGCTGGTGGGAGCCATTGTAGAAGCCAGCTGAGGCAGCGCACGAGTTTTCACGAAGGAGATCCGACTTGTGTCGGACGCAACGACTTTCATTAAAAGCCGGAGCCATCAGCCGTTTTGAAGGAGTGCATGAATACCTGTGCAGTGCATGGAAGTCACTCCACGCGACCATTGGTTTGCTAAGCCAGGTCAGCTGAGCGCTTTCAACCAGGAAGCGGGAGAAGTCACGCGGTAGCACTTCGTGGTGAACAGTTCATTAGGGTATAGTAGGGAGGCGTGTACATAGTTTGCCTGGTGTTTTTTGGCAATTTCAGAGGGTTTCCACTCGGTAGCTGAGATGTTTTGGCTTTGCAGGGACGAGGTTGATTCTGACACCTCGGTTTGTTGCACGTGTTTTTCGGTGAAAACTTTCCGAGGAAGGTGGTTGGGGGGGGAAAGGGCGGAGGGGGGGGTTTTGATTCCGACACTTGGACTTCGTGCAAAGCAACATCATGTCTTGGGCAGCTGTTTCGATTGCTAGTGTCTCCGCTGAATGTACTGCCCATGATGCTCGCATGGTGCCTGCAATGGTCAAGCGAGAACCTTCCACATCAGTCGTGCCAAAATGAGTGTGCTAGAAAGATCCGACAGCGCAAGGTGCCCAAATGCGTGGTGGCCGGTACACAGTATCGACAGTTTTTGGCACAAATAGACCCTGCTAGTGTACGTTCACGTGCTTCTCTGGCTGGTGAACCTTCCGGAGGACGCTACATGATGGCAGCTTTGGGGGGCCAATTTGCTGATAAAAAAGTTCCGGAACCAACGTTCGGCCCAAACTACTATCTTGACTCCCAAGCTTTTTGTTGTCCGTAGAAGTAGAAAACATCGTAAATTACAGTTTGTTCAGGCCCTCATGCCTCCAAACGCACCATTTGTTGTATGTTGTTCCCGTGGTGGAAGCCTAAACGCTCGTAAGCAACGATGATTCCAGCATCCACAAGTAAGCCTGGCAGCCCGAAACCACCAGGCAAACTATGTACACGCGACCTAGTAGGGTCTCAGGGTCATAGATTCATTCGCAGCGTCAGGGCTCGTGTGGCGTCGATGCCTCGCCACAGCCAAGGTAGTGGCGGCTCAGAAGGCCCACGAGATGAGCAGGAACCGGAGGAAGATGAGGAGGCGACGGAAGG